TCTCACCTGCTTTCGTCATATTGTAAGAAGGGACTATTCCCTGGAAAAGAATATCATGCTTGGCAAAGTGGAGGGACAATGAAAAAGGGGAAGGCCCTCAATGAGATGGATTGACACAGTGGCTGCAATGATAGGCTCAGGTATAGCAAGTATCATGGGGCTGGCACAGGACCAGGCAGTGTTTTGTTCTGCTGTACATGAAGTCTCTATGAGTTGGAGATGACTCAATGGCACCTAACAACAACAGGCCACACCCCTGAAGAAATGCTCTTTCAACTGATTGGTTGCTAATAGCACATCCCATCATGGAGGTGATCATGTTATATCAGATCTCATCATCAGGAATGACCACATCGTGACTGCTAAGCTACTGAGAATTGTGGCCCAGCCATGCTGACACACAACCTTAACTATCATAGAGAACATACAGTATTTGTCTTTTTGTATGTCCTAACTATTTAGCATAATGTTTTTAAGAGTCTTCCATTTTACAACATATACAGAACTTTATTTCTCTTAAAGAAATTAATTTTTCAAATAAAAACATATTCCCACCTCCCAAAGATCACCATCACTAATACTTTAGTGTGTCCCCCTTTTCCACACTGTCCAATAACCAATGACATAATTATAATTTTACATTTATTTGTATGGCCTTAAAAACAATATGTATCTTTCCCATAGGATGGTGGCGAAGTGCCTAAGGGATTTGACTGCTAACCAGAAGGTTGGCGATTCAAACCCACCAGCCACTCCTCTGAAGGAAGGTTGGCAATCTACTTCCTTAGAGATTTACTGCCTCGGAAACCCAAAGGGGGTTCCTATGAGTCAAATTCGACTCGGTGGCAGTGAGTTTGGTTTGGTAGCCCTAGTTCCTAGTAGAGTGGTGACACATGTTGATAACTCCACAAATAGTAAGTAAATGAGTAAATGAGGTCCATGAAAAGGAAACAATCCATAACTGCATTTTGGGGGATGTGGCCAGCTCAGACCCACCCTCTTTCTCTGAGAATTAATCCCCCCAACAAAAGGGTTGGTTCATGATAGCCATATTTGTACTACATGACTCCACTCTATGATAATAGATTGGGTCAGGGTGAGCGCATGATCGAAACTGGCCTGATCTGATTCTTTATCCTGGGAATTGGGTATTGGACTCTAGAAGTTGCCAGAGTGTCTTAGTGTGTCCAGAACTGAGGGAATAGTGAACACTTGGGCGGTGTGGGGCTCCTGCTGTGGGAATGGAGAAGCAGAGGAAACCAGTCTGTAGTCAGAGCAGAATTAAACAGAGCACTAAGCAGATTTATCAGAGAGGGAGAAAAGTATTGCTCATTTTCCTAACAATTTGATACTTTTTAGTTCTACTCTTTTGAGAAGCCCAGATGTCCGTGGAGTCTATGAGACATGCTATGTATTGGAAACAAAGCCCCTCTCCTTTTTTAACTACTTTGGCTCAATTTCTAGTACTTATAAATTGAAAAGTCTGACCTAAGACGTGCACTGTTATATATTAGTAGGTGCAATTAATTGAAATGGTAATGGCAGCTGCTTAGGGCAATTCAGGTTGCTGACTGCCCTGATCCCAGACAGATTCATCTGTGGGAAATCCCAGCCTGGTAAAGCTAGCCTGCCTGCTTCAGTCTGTTGGGGAGGAAATGAATCGGCTATGCAAATAGCTTCTGCTTTGGGCAGCAAGGGCAGGACCAGACTTATCACTTTGAGAGTCTGGAACCTTTCACCTGAAGTAACTATGTGGATGCAAATAGGATGAAGAGGAACAGTAAATTCTATGACATTTCTGAATAGAAGAAAAAAGGAAGAGAATCAAAACAAAGGCAGGCTCATATTTTTTGGCTATTTGTGGCTTTAGCCTATTTAAAGAAACTGCCTTTGCTTTTTAAATTTACTTATTTTTTCCATTGCTATTTGTTGTCATCCAGGAGCCAGGATTTGCTGTGTTTTGGAAAACCAGAGGCTTTTGAAAAAAAAAAAAAAATCTGTGGTGGCTTAGGGTTAGACTGGAAATACACAGGCTGATGTTTTACACCAAGTGGATGCTGGTAACTCCCTGCCAGTCAGGAACACACAGTAGGGCAGGTTCAGCAGTTGAGGCTGGTGGTATGAAATCATCCACACTCTCATTCCTGGAAGGTCTTACAACACAGTGTGCTAATTTGGAGATCAGTTGTCTGCTAGGGTTAGGGATGCAGCCTGGAACTATAAAATAATATATTTTTTCTCCCTCTGTGAACCTAATTCTGTCCTTGAGATCTTTGTCTGCACACGCTACCAGGTTTCCCTCTGATATCCCAAGGCCATGGTCATTTGCTAAGGTGGAATTTCAAATGGTTGTTTAAGAAAAGTCTGCTGGACAGAAAATAAGGCCATGATTTTCAATGGCATGTGAAGAAGCGTGTTGAGATTCTGTACATGAACTTACTGTACTGGGATTTAGAGAGAGGCAGCTTCTACCACCTATGGTTATAATTAGGGGAAGCCAAAATTGGTAAAAAGCAGGGCTGAGCAGATAGGAAATTTCTAAGAGCTGTATCCCCATCCCATTTCCCAGCTACGAAGGAGAGGAGCTTAACCAGCAATTGGGGAAAATGGGAAACTTGCCTTCCTGTCTACCCCAAATTCAGGAAGGACCATCTTCAGATGCTCCAAAAACATAAGTCCATTAGGGTTGAATTGTATGTGTGTGAGGAAAAAAAAAAAAACAGACATGGTTATAGATCATGCCATGCACTCCTGCTTGTCTCTGGCAGAGGTCAGCTGTGGTCTAGAAAGGACGCCACCCTGGCCAGCTGCTGTGGTTGATGCTGCTGGATCTTAAGATGTTGTGGTTATGTGCCGTTGAGTTGGACCCGACTCATAGCGACCCCTCCTTGGGTTTCCGAGGTGGTATCACTACAGAAGTAGATTGTCCAACTTTCCTTCTGAGGAGTTGGCTGGTGGGTTTGAACTGCCAGCTCTTTCTGGTTTGCAGTCAAGTGCCTTAGGCACTCGGCTACCAGAGCTCCTGGATCTTAAGGTACACTCAGGTTAATTCCACCCTGTAAGAAGTACCTACCAGGGTACTTATTTCACCTACAGGAGCTCCCTGAAATGAGGAAACAGACCAAGAGAATTAAGATGATTTGCCCCAGTCTCAGTCAGGACTTGAATTCAGGCGTGGCTCCCGAGCCAGTCCTCCCCCTCCCACTCTCTACTTGCCACCCCTCATTCAACACTATACACATAGTAGGTACTCCGCAAAACTTTACTGGAGGAATGTTGACAAAATCGCCTGTGAACGTGGAGACCAGTGGCTAAGTTTTCAAACATTAACCTATATCGAGAGAAATAATGAGTTGATATAGCCACTAGAGGTCAGAATTTAGCAGTTCTTGTTAGCCCAAGGCTGCTGCCTGTGGACCTTGGAACTGGAAGGAACCCCAGGGTGGTGCCCATCAATGCAGCTCCTATAGATGAAAAGCTGAAGTTTGGGAATAATATGACCTGCCCAAGGCCACAAGGGAGCTCTGGTGGCATAGTGCCTAAGGCATTTGACTGCTAACCAGAAGGCTGGCGGTTCAAACCCACCAGCCACCCCTTGGAAGGAAAATAAGGCAATTTACTTGCGTAGAGACAGCACCTCAGAAACCCAAGGATGTGTCACTATGAGTCAGGACCATCTTGACGGCAGTGAGTTTGGTTTATTTGGTTAAGGCCACAAAGGTCTGGTGAATCCCACACCATGCTTTGCCCAGCACCACAGTGACTCTTCGACTGTCTGAAAACAGCATTTTGTAACTGTCTCAAGCAGCTGGTGTGCACAAGGTGCTGGTAGGCAGTGGTGACAGCCCAAGCCTGGCCCTGCCATGGAGCTTTAAAGTGTGGAAAGTGGAGGGCTAATATTTAGGAATTAGGCTTGACTTTTACTCAAAGTTGGAAATAGATTTTACCTCGTGATCCTCTAAATTAACAATTCTACTTCATAACTAATAGGTATGTATACAATTGAGATAAAAGTTTCAAAAAGTAATGTTTGTTTCAACAGTACTATAATATATCCTGCATTTTTCTATTCTTATCTATTTTAGCCTGTTTAATAAGAAAAAAAAATTATAATCCCAACCTGCTAAGCTGACCCCCATTGGGTTTCAGAGGCAGTAAATCTTCACGGAAGTAGATTGCCCAGTCTTGCTTCTGTGGAGTGGCTGGTGGGTTTGAACCACCAACCTTCTAGTTAGCAGTCAGATGCCTTAGGCACTTTACTACCAGAGCTCCACTAAACTGACATGACCCACTAATGGTTATGAAACGGGTATCCCTGCTCTAAATCATTGATTTAAATTAGGAAAGAACCATGAACATGTGCCGATGGCTACCGTATGTTCCTAGCTGGGGGTAGAGGGTAAGAGATATTAGAACACAACCATCACAGGCAAGACTTACTGGAAGTCTAAGCACAGATATGGGGACAGGCCAGAGGTAGGAATCTCTTTGTCTCTGTGGTGGGCCCTTCAAATGAGGACTTAGGGAAAAGATCATGAAGCCACTGTCACCCCATTTTGCTGTGAATCTGAGGAGGCCTTCTACTTGGGAGGCTGGGGTCGGCACTCAATAGATGCACTTACACATGTCACTGCTTTAGAGAAAAGATGATCAAGGACTGAAAACTCACTGACTGTAAAATCATTGCCAGGGATTCCTTGAACTGTGAACTGGGGTCCACGTCACTGTGGTGAATGAGACTGAGAACAGGTGTGTTTGTTTTGCCTTTCTTGCGTTTTTGCTGATAGTCTAGGCTGGTGTGTGCCAACCTCAGTACGTACAAGAATTGTCTGGGAGCTTGTTAGCATGCAGATTCTGGTCCAGACGCATGGGGAAGGCCAGGGGATGTTGCTGTTGCTGGTCCTGGGTCCGCACTCTGAATAGCATGCTTCCACTTAGAGGTGGGGATAGGAGGGCCCGACACACATGCCCCGGCTTGGCCAGCTCCTCTTTTCCTGCAGATGCCGAGAAGGGCTGCCACTTCCTGCACATCTTGGCCTGTGCTCGCCTGAGCCTCAGCCCAGGTCTGAGCGAAGCCGTGCTGCAGCAGGTGCTGGAGCTCCTGGAGGACCAGAGTGACATCGTCAGCACCATGGAGCGCTACTACGTGGCCTTCTGAGGAGGCCCGCGGCCAGCCCAGGGCCGAGCCGGCCAGCCAGCCCGGGGCTGCCTGGGGAAGAAGAGGGGGTGGCTCTGATTTTGAACATCACACAGGGTGTATGTGTCTGAGGCAATTACACCATGATAAACTATAATAAAGTGCAGTCATTGGGCAGTGGGACTTGGCATAAATGCATAGGCTGCCTTCTTCCTGCTGTTGTCCTGGGATAAAATGGCTTTTATCCCAGCCATGATATGTTAAAACCCTCCCTGTTGACCTGGATGGATTGGTGTGGCTCATGGAGCAGAAAGTAGAGGAAACAGTGTTGGCAGCTTGATGAGTGTGGTTGTGGTCTGAGCCTCTATAGTTGCGAAGACGTGCCCTGGTGAAGGCCCACGTGCTGCAGAAACCGAGGAGCATAAAGCCAGATCACACGGTTCTAAAGCTGCAGACTCTCAGATGTATCCTTGTGGGCCTCTCTCATGGCTGAGAACCAGGTGTAGGGGACTAATGCTCCCTGGGTATGTGTCACTCACCTACATTACTGTGGGCTCAGCACAGAGGTGGGTCTTGCCTGAGTCCTGGTTTATTGCTGTTGTAGCCCAACCAGAGGTGAGAATCCACAGGATCCAAGACCCGGCTCTGTGTTTGTCATTTTCCTTATTTTCTTCTGAATCAAAATCATCTCAGTATATTTTCCTGCATATAAAGATGTGCATGACTAAATGCATCATTACCTAATAATGCCCCTGAAGATCACAGAGCCCATCAGCCGCTTGCATGGCTGTTAGGAGATGTTATGTTCCAGGTTGCACTGAGTATGCAGGACGTGCTGACAAAGACTCAGTATGTGCCCAGACAGGTGAGGGAGTCATGCGTTTGCTGAGGATGACGAGGCAAAGGGAAAACCATCTGAGGTATGTAGCAAGCTTGTTCTAACAGCAAAATAACAAATCCAGCCAGCAAAAAATAAAGTGCAGAGAAAGATTTGGGCTTAGTTACAGTCATTTCCCAGAAGGCTCATTTACCTCGTTGACTGCCATGTAGCCGTGGATGGCATTTGCTCTGTTGCCATAAGCTCTCAGTGGCTCTGCTGGAAATCCACTGGCCTGGAAGAGTTGTGCTCTGTGTGGAAATAGAACAGTTTGCAGGCTCAGAAGTGGGATTGAGCACTGTATGTCATGCTGAGCTAGTTCCGGCAGACCGCTTCCTGCTGTGGACTTTTCTGACTTGATCCGAACCTCTGCTGGGTTTCTGACAGCAGTGATCCAGACTGCCCTGTGTCTTTCCTTTGTTCTGAGTCCCTACCAGAGAGATCTCCTTGAGATGACCTTCCTGGAGTTCTTCCTTGACGTCAGTGCCTGCCTTGTACTTAATACCGCTCTGATGATGGCAGCTGCCTCAGGAAGGTGTTTAGGTTCTAAAAGGAAAAGGGGTGCACCCTTGCATATGTCAACCCCACTTCTAGCGATTTGCACCAGTGTGAAAGGATGCATGCTCAAGACGTCCATTGCTGTCTAATGAAAAATTATGTAACTGAGGAAAACTATTATTTTTTCAGGAAGGTCAATATTAATGATGATACCTATAGACAGTCAAATATTTTGCAAGCATTAAAACTGATGGAGCAGTCATATATCATTACCATGGAATACTATTCCCAATGGATTTAGTGGGAAGAAAATAAAGTTATAGAACAGTTTATATAGTGTAATAGTATTGATATAAAATTCAATAGCATTATGTACTTGCATATATTATAGTGTGTTTCTATATATACTCAAACCAAACTCACTCTATCAAGTTGATTATAACTCATAGTGACCCCCACTGGGTTTCCAAGGGTGTAAATCTATACAGAAGCAGACCACCTCATTTTAGTGGGTTTGAACCACCGTCCTTTTGGTTAGCATCCAATGCCTTAACCACTACACCACCAGAGCTCCTTTCTATGTGTCCAAAAAAAACTGAGTGCCATCAAGTTGATTCTGGTTCATAGCAACCTCCATTGCGTTTCTAAGGCTGTAAATCTTTACAGAAGTAGATATCCCCATCTTCCTTCCACAGAGCAGCTGGTGGGTTTGAACTGCTCATCTTCTGGTTAGCAGCCAAATGCCTTATCCACTATGCCACTAGAGTGCCTTTCTACGTGTATATATATATGTATAAATATAGTACATGCGTGCCTATCCATACAGTTAACCACCACTCCTAGAAATACTTCCTGCCCTTGGCTTTCAGGTTACCACATTCTCTGTTCTCTCCTCAATCTGCTTTGCCTATTCCTGTGGTTCCTTGAGTACTCGGAGCTTAGCTCTAGACCTCTTTCCTGTCTAGTTTTCTCTCTTGGAGTCTCATGTCTCATACCATCCATGTGCTGATAAAACTCCCATAGTTATATTCAGTGTAGGTTTCTCCCCTGAACTACAGGCTTCTGTATCCAACTTCCTATTGACATCTCCACTTAGGTTGTAATAGACATCACAAACTTAATATGCCCCAAACCAAGCTCCCATCAGCCCTGACCCCAGCCTTGCTCCTTCTAAAGTTTTCTCCATTTTGCATGAAGGCATCTCCATCTTTCCAGTTGCTCATGCCAAATGCACTGACTTGTTTCTTTCTCTCACACCCATACCCAATCTGTCAGCAAATCATTTTGGGTCATTTTCAAACTATTTCTAGACTCTAAGCTCTTCTTGCTCCTCTGCGAGCACTACCCTGGAGTCTTGCAGTTGGCTCCTGACTCTTTTTCCTGCTGCCACCCTCACGCCTCTTCAACAGCAAGAGCCATCCTGTTTTAAGTCAGAGTTTGTCACCCTTTGCCCCAGCTTTCTGTTTCACTCCAGGTAGGAGTTTCAGGCATCACAGAGATCAACAGGGTTCTGCTCTGCTGCCCTTGTCTCCTGCTCTTCTCCCCCTCACTCACTCTGCTCAGCCACACAGTCCTTGCTGTTCCACACTCAGGCACGTCACTGCCTCAGGGCCTTTGCATGTGCTGTTTCCTCTGTCTGGAATGTGCTTCACTCACGTCACCACAAAATGTGCTTCCCTTTCCCCTCCCAGTGTCTTTACTTAGGTGTCACCTTCTCATCGAGGCCTGTCCTGATCTCTCTCTGGCTGATTGCAGCCAAAGCCTTTTCTTTCTTTCCCAGAAGTCCCTGTCTCCCTTCTCTGTTTTATATTTCTCATTGTACTTGTCATCATTTCTGATTTGCTTCTCCACTATAGAAAGAAAGCTCCATGAAGGAGGACTCTCTCTCTCTCCTTAGAAACATCCCTGGCACATCTTTTAAGCATCCCCACTTCAGTGTGTGTGCCTGGCAGTATACGAAGACGGGAGGAGCTCTTAAAACGCTCCAGGACTAACTACAGTCAGGTCACTGCTTGTCTCCCAGAGACTGGCCCAAGGGTTCCCCTGAAAAGGAGGAGAAGCGAACAAAGATTCTCTAGCCCTTCTGGTGGCCACATGTTTTGAAGGTGTGAACATGGCACATAGTTTACGTCGGCAAGAAGACAAATAGTGCTACTGTTTGACTGAGGATTAAAAGATCCTTTTAAAGATCCTTGTTTGTCCCCGTCTGGTAAGCTATCCGTGCTGCTTGTCCCCATAAGACACTTCTTTCTAATTATCTCCCCCTCTGATAGTGTGCCAGGACACTGGCCAAGAGAAGCCAAGTGGAAAGAAGTCTGCCCAGTGATGAGGAGTCCAAGACTCCGTGCCAAGCATGGAAACCAAGCAAACTTGCAATTTTCCATTTTGGAGAAAACATCTATAATTTTTTATTAGTGTGGTTTCTTCTCTACAAGTGGCATCAAAGCGATGGCCCCAAAGAAGCATCTTACTGTTTCCTTACTAAGCTTCTGTGAAGCATCTGGCCACGTTTGGACCACGATGAGGCCTGTGGCGATGCCAGTCCAGGCGTTGGGGGAAATGTCAGACTGTCCTGGAGGGAAAATGGTCTGTGGACAAGGAACCTTGCAAGAATTTTTATTTGCATGACAGGCTACTGGCGGAGGCTGTAAATGGGAGTCCAAACTCTCACATTAGTGAGTTTTTATATAATCTAGAATTTTTTTAAAAAATCTTATTTTTTTTCATTGAACAGTTTAATATATCTATTATCTGTTAGCCTCTGGTGTGTTTATCAAGTAAACCCTAACTGGTAATCACAGCACAAGTTCAGTGTCCACAAGACTTCTCAATCACACCCCAAATTCCCGATCAGATTCAAGCCCCTCCACATGTGTCACATTAAAACAACAGGTCTTTATTTTGGAAGAGAAAGAGACACTAATTTGTTGAGATTGAGACAGTAATGTGCCATCTCATTAACTGATTTGGTAAAAGGTGTATGTGACTTAGTGAAAACACTGTGTTTGAAATAGTGCCATTTTATTACATTCAAGTCTGTCTAGAGCTCCTAAATCTGAATTGTTACGAGGAAGTGGTTTTGCTGTTCTTAGGGAACTTGCTTTAATAATAAGAATTATTTTAATTAATATTATGTATCACTCAATAGGGAGCTCTGGTAGCGTAGTGTCTAAGGCACTTGACTGCTAACCAGAAGGCTGGAGATTCAAACCCACCAGCCACTCCTTGGAAGGAAGTTTGGGCAATCTACTTCTGTAGTGATACAGCTTTGGAAACCCAAGGAGGGGTCGCTATGAGTTGGCACATAACAACAACAACATCATTCAATAAAAGAGTTCCGGTGGCATAGTGGCGAACGCATTCAGCTGCTAACCAAAGGTTGACGATTCGATACTGTTTGGGAGAAAGATATGGCAGTCTGCTTCCATAAAGATTTATAGCCTTGGAAACTTTATGGGGCAGTTCTACTCTGTCCTATAGGGTTGCTATGAGTTGGAATTGACTCGATGGCAGTGGTTTTGGGTTTGGGTTTATCATTTGTTATGAATAGAAGATTTTAAAGTGCTCAAACCCAAGAGAATTTAAAGTGTATGTTCACACAAAAAAACTTGCATAGCCAAACAGTGGAAACAATTCAAATGTCCAA